ACGCAAACATTCCTAAAGTTTGGCGCATCGTGTCATCAAGTCCCCGAATGCTGCAGAAAGAACAGCCCTTCATCTGGACGAGCTTTAGGAGAACTTACATTTGCACCAAAAATCTGTACTCATGATTTCACTTTCAGCAGAAACAGGTCATTCAACCAAAACATAGGGACTACAGAACAAAATGTTCTAAACATCCCCACGCTCCTGATGAGCCCTGAAACAGCAGGACACAAAGAAAGGCCGATGACAACAAGCCAAGGAAATAAACAACAAGCCAAGGAAATAAACAAACTGTTTCTGTAGCTTTCACACACGCAGAACGAAGCAAACGCTGAGATGGTGAACAAAGGGGCTGCCAGCGCAGCAGCCCCCCAGCAGACAAAGGAGCAGCGCTAACACACACACACAGGCGTACACACACACACACACACACACACACACACACACACACACACACACACACACACACCTCCTGAGGAACACCTGTACCTGATCAGAAGAGACAACTGCAGATTTGAATCACAGCCAAGATGATAAACTAAATCTGAATGAAAACTCACAGCGGTACTAAAGCTGAGAACTTTACCTCAGCAGATTCAGATTTGTGGGGAAATAATCCAGCTTTGGCATGCTTTTCTCAGTAAAATGAGAAAAATATTTGTAATGTAAAGAAAACTTCATAGGAGGAAATAGAAGATTCTGCAAGAGCACCAGTGAAACACTTGGAAACACTAAAGTGTTTCCAACATCTGAAAGATTTTGGTCTCAAACTCCAGCAGGAGCAAAAGCAGCCGACGGACAGAAAAGACAAAGTTAGGGACAAAGACCACGGAGTGAGCTCGTCTCACCGTCTTCCAGCATGATCCTCTCAGTGAGCTGCATCCTGCCTCGCTCTCAGCTGATTCCCTCCTCTCTCCTGAACCTCTCCTCCACCTCCTCCGGCGGCTCTGCTCTGTCAGACTGAAGAAAGGAGCAGTTACGCTGATCCTAAAAGAAGACAGACCCACTAATCCCTGCATGGAGACACACCCCCTCAGCAAATCAGGCCAGAAGGAGGCGGGATCAGCAGGGAAAGAAAGGAAGGAGGTGGAGACGCTGTGGTTGATTCACTCCCTCTGGGACACAAGAGAGCAGCGAACCCAACAAGTAGTTCTGGCCGAGCGCAGCAGGAACCCGACCCTCCAGAGCCCCGGGCAGCGCAAACGCTTCACCTCCAGCTGTTTGGAACAGGTTCACATCTGGATTACGATGCTGATAAAAGGCTGCCATCACTCAAACATCCAGAGGATTACCAACCAGTCAATCCAATCACGCGGAGGATGGGCTCCTGTATGTAAAGAGGCTTTAATGTGTCTGCTAAGCACTAACGATCCACTCACCTACTTCCATCTAATACCGCTGAAAGGCTTCCGTACACTGACAATACTCAGAATTAGGACCGGCCCAGAGTCTGGAAAAACATTGTTGTCAAAGATCAGGAAGCTTTGGTCAGCACAATAATGCTCCAGTGGCTGCAGACACCAGAACAAATAGCTCGTCTTCATCACTTCCTGTCAGAGTGGAGAAGAATAGGAGGGAAGGGAAAGAGCCACACGCCAGTAAAAGCTCGTCTCTCTTCATGCAGGAGGTTGCTACGGGTCAGATACCTCTTTTGTTAGGGGTGTCTGTACCAGCTGCACCATTACCAGGTGTGTTGCTATCACTCAGGTGCGTTATGCAAGTCGTTCAAACAAAGAGAAGTAGAGATGCACCATGAGAGGATCAGTCTCAGCGAGTTTCCTGAGCGCAGCACTTGGAGCTAACTGATCTGCAGACATATTTATGAATGAAATCAAGCTTTAGATGTCTGCAAGAATGTCTGAACCATTCCAGTAGCGGAGGTCTCTGTTCTCTCTCTCCTGAGGCTCGGACAAAAGGAAGGAAAAGGGTTGATTAACTCTGCTCAGGGTGATCAGAGAACAAAGGTTAGGAGATCTGACAGTGCAGCACAGCTGATGGATTTTCCTCCAGCTGCTGACATCACCTCTCCACGGAGCTGCAGGTGCATTTCTGGGCCGCTGAGAGACTTTAATCCAGCCCGGATCCTTCTTGGTCACTAAAAAGGTGGCGGAGAGGACGGAACTACCGGCCTAGCTGTATTCAGCAGCGCCTTCTGGAAACGAGGCAACGTCCCACATCTGCGCCATGCTCCGTTGTGAGGGACCCGGGGAGGCGGTGGGAGCCATAACAGGAGCAGTCCCCCATCTCCTCTCGGTGACGGTCGGGTACAGGCAGACACAAGAATGCGCAGATAGCAGTCACAGGAGGAGGTTAGGATGACAACAGGTTCTGGTGGGGTTTTCTCCGGTTTTGTTCCCGGTCCTGAATCCCATCCCCCCGTTCTGACGCTGTGGGGGAAAGCCGATTTCGGAATGATCCAGAAACCCACCGATAAAGATCTGATAAAACAAGTCCAGTGAACATAAAACATGCTGAGTTGTTCCAGCCCGAGCTCAGAGTATCATTAAAAACGAGAACAACTGTTTCTGCTGCTTTAATGACCAGAAACATGAGCTCACGACTAATGAGAGCGTAAACGCTGCAGTCCAAACGCTCTCATTCCCCTGAAGTCCAGGCCAACGCCTCAACCAGAGCTAATTTACACCGATTCCAGGGACACCAAACCAAACACGACACCTCTCATGCAGCCCGGTGTTTCCGTCCTCCTGCTTACCTGGCGGTTGGTCCATTTCCAGGTAAAAGATCAGCTCGGTAGAGTAGGGCATCTTTACGTCCCGCCAGTCTCCGTCCTCCACGGATTTCTCCGCCGTTAACACTGTATTGTACATTCCTTTTCTGCCAGTTAAATGTAAAACCTACAAACTGCGAACAAATTAAACTACAAACAACTCGTCATTAAATAAACTATAAGTTAATCTATCTAAAATTAAGTCCTTTATCTGAATTCCCGCTTCAGAATGGAATAAATAGCTAAAATGAATGACGCAGGCACCGGGTTACGGCGGCTCTCCCACATTACACCGATGCTAACAGCTCGGGCCCTTCTTCACCACGGCCCTCTGCGTTTGGATACTAAGATTGTTTCAGCAGCGTCATCTCTAAACGAGGCTTTGGCAGATACCAGCTCCACTTTTACAGTTTCCTTTTCTTCTCCTCCGCAAAACCCGGCGCCTCCTCGGCTTCATTTTAAACCGTTCACTGACGGAGAGGGCACATTCGGACGGAGGCTGGACCGAACCACTCCATCGCTGCTGTCGGGGTGCACTCAATGATTCTCTAAACATAACTTTCCTAAAAACTAAATATACTAAACATAACAGTGAAACACTAACAACATATAAGTTTTACTTAATATTCGTAACTAGTTAGTTGAGTTAAATCAGCAGCAACGGTGCCTGATATTTTAAGTTTTTTTTGTATCCCCCACTTTTGTTCTTGTCCAACTGAGAAGCTCGTTTCTGTTCCCGCCCATCAATGGCCGAGCCCCCAGGCGCATGCGCACATTCGTTACGGTCCAAAGAACACAGGACTTGAACCTTCATGGAGCAAATCCTGAGGTTTTCCATGGAGGTTCTACCATCTGACTGATGTTCTCAATAACTGAATCACAGAGCAGTAGCAGCTTGGGCTGTATCAACACAAACTACACAAATAATCGACCATTAAATAATATGACATGACTATGGCTGTATTTATTCTAATCATTACACATGACTGCCTTTTTCCAGCTCTGGATAATTTTATGTGCATGACTTTCCATATTCACCGACTCCTAGATTTCCATACCCACATGTAAACCAATCTAAAAACAATGCAGAGTTGTTTGGGTATCTAAGTCTCCTACAAATGTAAAAGGTGTCGTATTTTCTGAACTTGATTATATTAATACACAATGAAACCATCTGCCCATGTGAAACGGGTCCTGACTGTGCTTTTGCACCAAACTGCTGTTTTGTAGTTCTTCGAGGAAGTGTCAGAGAGCGCACCCTCCAATGACTCCCTTGTTCTCCTAGAAAGAAAGAAAGAAAGAAAGAAAGGAAGAAAAAAGAAAGAAAGAAAGAAAGAAAGAAAGTTATCTTATATAGCGCCTCTCAAGATAAAAACCACGAGGCGCTTCACAAGAACAAAAAATTCAAAATACAAAAAATAAAATAAGAAGAAATGCGGTTAAGAATTAAAACTAAAGATTTGTAATTAAAAATGCAAGGAAAGCGAAAGAAAAATGAACAGGGAAGAGGCAAATCAGTGGATCCCGGGAAAGGCGGAATTGGTAGAAAGAGCAGAACAAGGAGAGGGAGGTGATGAAGGTCCCACCACAGCCTGAACAGGTGAGTTTAAAGGAGACCACTGAGTCCACTGATCTCAGGCTCAGGTAGAGAGAGCGCCAGAGTCTGGGGGCGACAGCAGCAAATGATCTGTCATCTTTGACCTTTAGCCTGGTGCTGCTCAACCAGTAGGCTTTGGTCACTTGACCTCAGGGACCTGCTGGGGGTGTAGGGACTGAGAAGATCACCAATGGTACTTGTCCAAGTGGTGCTGTGTCTGCAGTGATGCGTGGCTCAGCTCTTGATTTACTGGTTGAACTACGTTCCTACCCTCAATTATGGTCACAAGCTTTGGGTAGTGACCAAAAGAATGAGATCACGAAGATAAGCGGCTAAAATTAGTTTTCTCTGCAGGGTGGCTATGCTCTTCTTTAAAGATAGGGAGAGAAGCTTGGTCATCCAGGAGGGGCTTGGAGTAGATCAGCTACTCCTCCACATTGAGGGGTGCCAGTTGAGGTGGCTCAGGCATCTGATTAGGATGCCTCCTGGATGCTTCCCTGGTGAGGTTTTCAGGGCACGTCCAACCAGAAGAAGACTTGTAAGATAACCCAGGACACGCTGGAGGGACAATTTCTCTCGGCTGGTCAGGGAACGCCTTGGAATCTCCCCGGAAGAGTTAGCCAAATGTCTGGGGGGAGGGAAGTCTGGGCCTCTCTTGACTAAGGCTGTTGTCCCCGTGATCCGACTCCAGATAAGCAGAAGAAAATGGATGGATGTTGTATATGTCGAGAGAGAAGGGCTGCCCTATGACAGCCCATGTCCCAACCAGGCCTGAGCCCGGGGGCCACACCCCCCCCCCCCCCAGCAGCCAATAATCATTAAAGGATGGAGACCAATCAGCCAGCCCAGAGGACAGACCCAAGCCCAGGGAAGAAGGAGAGCAAGACAGAAGACATCAGGGTACCAGCCGGACTGGGTCTAAGCTTCATCTTAAAGCCTTCTGGAAGAGAAAGTCTGACTCAGCAGAAATTGCTCTCTTAATATGAAGTTCACATTGAAACATCTAAGTTTTAATCCAAAGATCTAAAGTACTTTTGTATGCTAGTGCTAACCATGTGATAATGAGGTAAAGGTGGGGTTTACAATTGAAGAGGGCATGGCCTGAATCTTAACATGAATTTCCATCTATTCTGCAGTTTTTGAAAAAGTAATTAGTTACATTTACTAATTATTAGATCAAAAAAGTAACTGAGTTAGCTACTGAGTGACAAGATTATAAAAGTAACAAATTGTCAGGAAAAGTAACAATTTCATTACTTTTTTCCTAAAATTTGCAAGAAAAATGGGATCTGCGGTGCAGAAATAACTTGGTTTGGTAACGTTTTACAATAATGGTCCCAAAATCGGCTTACCCAATGATTAACTAATGATAAAAGAATCAGGATTTCATTGATTAACTAACGATTACCTGAGCTTCACAATTTAGTTCAATTCAAGTTTATTTATAAAGCGCCAAATCACGATCAGAGTCGTCTCAAGGACCTTCACGCAGTAAACACTCCAATACAGGCCAGGTCATTAAGCCAATCAGTAAAAAGTTTCCTACATAAGGAACCCAGCAGGTTGCATCGAGTCACTGACTAGTGTCAGAGTCTTTACAGCAATCCTCATACTAAGCAAGCATGCAGCGACAGTGGAGAGGAAAACTCCCTTTTAACAGGAAGAAACCTCCAGAGGATCCTGGCTCAGTATAAGCAGCCATCCTCCACGACTCACTGGGGATGGAGAAGACAGAGCACGCACGCGCGCACACACACCATATACATCAAGTAGTGTTTCTATGGTTACATTGTGATTTCTTAGTAAATATTCTATTTGACGAGAGATAAACTTTATTGCATTTATCCTAGTGAATCTATAATTAAACGGATAAACTAGTAGTAGCACATCCAACGTCAAAGAGAGTGAAAAGTTATTATCAGGAGAGGGAGAATGTTTAAGTGGTTAGCAGCAGTGTGCTAGTCGATGGCCCCCTCCATGAGGCCACCACAGCTCAGCAGAACATCGTTGTAGCTTCTTTTTGGGAGAAAAACACTTAGAGACTTTACCGACTGTAGACTCCACCTCTCTCTACTCCCCCACTTGTCCAGATCTGGGCTAACATCAGATTTTATCCATAGGCCCTATCAAATAAAAATGTTTTAAGCGTAGTCTTAAAAGTAGACAAAGTGTCTGCCTGGGAGTTGGTTCCACAGGAGAGGAGCCTGATAACTAAAAGATCTACCTCCCATCCTATTTTTAGATATTCTGGGAACCACCAGTACACCTGCAGTCTGAGAGCGAAGTGCTCGGTTAGGAATGTATGGAACAATCAGATCACTGATGTGTGATGGAGCTTGATTATTAAGAGCTTTATATGTGAGAAGAAAGATCTTCAAATCTATTCTGAATTTAACAGGTAGCCAATGTAGGGAAGGACAGGAGAGATATGATCTCTCTTTTTTAATTTTCATCAGAACTCTACCTGCAGCATTTTGGACAAGCTGAAGACTTTTAACTACATTCTGTGGACTTTCTGAGAGTAATAGATTACAGTAATCCAGTCTTGATGTCATAAATGCATGAACTAATTTTTCAGCATCATTCCTGGAAAGGATGCTTCTAATCTTAGCAATATTCCGAAGGTGGAAGAAGGAAATCCTACAAACCTGTTTAAAGTGGGATTTGAATGACATGTCCTGGTCAAAGATAACACCAAGGTTCCTTACTTTGTTCTCGAAGACCAGTTTAATGCCATTCAGGTCAGGTGATTGACTAAGCAATTTCCTTTTCTGAAGTTCCGGTCCAAAGATGAAAACTTCAGTCTTGTCTTGATTTAAAAGCAGAAAGTGTTGAGTCATTCAACTTTTTATGTCTTCAAGACAAGCCTGTAATCTACCTAACCGATTAGGTTAATCAGTGTTAATGGATAGATATAACTGAGTATCGTCAGCCTTATGGAAGAGTTCAAGTGTGCCAGAGCACGGTTGCAGATGACCTTGAATGATACCACAGATCCGGTGATCAAAGAAAACGTACCAAACCTGGTTACCGGGTGCAAGTGGAGACCAGCAAGAGTGGTAGAGGAGGCAACGGCAGCTCTTAGACATGCTGACATTGTGGGGAACGTTAACCTAGGAAGGGGAGGCCTTGGACTAAAAACTGGCCGCCCAGCCTGGAGAACTGCTACTGCTCCAGCATGGAGGAAGATGGTGGTGGATGAGGTGCAACGTCAGGAGGAATCTGCAAGGTGGGCCAAAGCAGTCACCCTTGGCAAACAGGGACTGTGGACACGGTGGGAAGGTGTCGAAAGGAGGAGGTTGTGCTGGAGGGCCATGGAAGCTAGGAACTTGAGCTTTTCCATCAGAGCCACATATGATGTCCTACCAACACATCTCCACCAGTGGTTTGGTAAAGATTGTGGGTGCGTCCTGTGCTCCAAGCCAGCCTCCCTCCGGCACATAGTCACTGGGTGTAAAACCAGCCTTACCCAAGGACGATAGACTTGGCGGCACAACCAGTGGAAGTGTATCCCATGCTGTCTAATGATTTAAAGGAGACGTAACATGAAAAACCCACTTTTTTATCCATTAACACAGTGTGTTTCACATTTTAAGTGTCTAAGTTAGCAAAAAGGCTTATATTATTCACTGGAGTTGCTATTTAGATATTTAATAATAAGTTTTGGGCATATTTGTCCACTAGTTCAGTTTTTTAAATTATCTATTACATCAGTAATTTATTTCATCAGGATAACTACCAAATATGGTAATGGCCCTCGGCTAAACACAGAGCCTAGCCGCCATTTTTTCTTCTCGCTAAGATTTTTTTGTAGTCCTATTGGAAAAATGCAGAATGTCTGGTTATTTTAGCCACATACAGCTCAAAACTGTTCCTCGTTTTAAGGAAGGGTGGTGTGGCAGGATTTAAACCCAGAAGCTGATGACACAACTGCTAAAAAAAAAATTAAAAATAAAAAAAAAACAGAAAAATGTAGTGTGTTTCTGTGTGTGTGTGTGTGTGTGTGCGCGCACGCGCGCGTTCGTTCGTTCGTTCGTTCGTTCGTGTCTCCCAGGCTAGTGAGTACTGAGGGCTTCATCTATCTAAAAGGAGTCATTTCCATCTGAATGTGGCAGCGACGGGACACAGCAGCAGAGCGGTAAGCTTCATATCACTCTAAAATGTCGACAAACTTTACTTTAGATTTACGGGCATTAACACTAAAGCGTTAGCATCCGACTTGCTATCGCTAGCACAGTATGCTAGTAAAGTTAGCACCCAGATTAATGTGGATTTGGCCGATTTTCGGGGAATAAAACGTGATTTCTGATCAACGCCTTCTTTTACACCAGATGATAACCTCCCACTGATTGTAGCAGCAGAGAGCCTGTGTGTTATTCTACGTGAGTGTGATGTAATCTTAGCATCCAGTAAATAAAGTCCCATATCAGCTAAAATGCAGCGTGACAAAGTCATTAAAGTGCGTCAACACAGTGGATTTAATAGAGTTTTAAAGAACAATCTCTGAGTGAAGTGAGGTTAGTTTTTTGTCTCACTGCAGATATAAAAACTAACTCTGCATCAGTCAGACGCAGCAAAGCTCACCGTCTGTATGAGCGTGAGCATCGGAAAGCTGATCAAATCGGCTGTAAAATAATTAAAACAAAAGTAAAAATGCTCCTTTGCTTTAGAGTCCACATCCAGAAGGCTGGAGCCGTGTTTCACTGACAGGCTCTCAGACTAAAGCCCTGATGAGCTCAGCTGGGACAAACTGGTCTGATGTTTAGGTAAGTGAAGATCTGCTTCTCCAAGACCTTGAGATGCTAGTAAAAATAATTTAGCCAGCTTGCTAATGTTACTTTTCTTCTCCTCTAAGGAACACAGAACGTTCAGATGTTGGAGCTTCACGTCACCTACTGAGGAGGAAGGAGACCCACCAGTAAAGAGACGGTAGCTGGACCAGACCAACGTGAGTGATGACACACCTCAGCCACCCTCATCATTAAGAACGCCTCACCCCCTGAATCACTCCGTCTGATGACAGCAGAGTGATTTATTTGATGGTTTACTTGTTTAGTCTGTTTAGAAATTATTGAATTACATTATTTTCTGTAATCGACCATCTGATCTGGACGTGTGCAGAATAACTTTCCCCAAATTCAGCAACAGCTAGCCTACAAAAACAGCTGCAGCATGTAGTAAGTCTGTCTGCACTGCTCTCTAATGAGCTTCCTTTCATAAGGAATCATTTGTATAATTTTAGTGTCACTATTTTATTACATTTGTAAGAATATGAAGTCACTGCAGCAAAGTGAACTTGTGAACAAAGTAAACCAAAACAACACAAACGTGACTATAAACATGAAAGCTAAAGAACCAACTTTCCTAAAGCTGCTTGTAAACAAAATATGTCATTAATGTTATTGTCTATCATTGTAGAATATGGCGATGACATCATGGAACTGGTCTTTGGAAAAGTTTTCCCTGAACCAACTCCGTTTCTAGATGAGGTAGAGAAGATCTGCATCTCACCAACCCTCTGGTCTCAGTATTCAGACAACGGAGGTCTCCCACTGTTATCCAGGACCAGTTTGAAGCCCACATACTGCCCCTCCCTCATCATCAGGAAACATCAATCCGTATCCTGAGGACAACAGAAGACGGCAGGAGGACAGGAACTCTGAGACCTAGATACCACCAGCACCGAGACACAAAGCACCTGTGTGCACAACGCCTGTTTAACTACTAAAGCCTGTTCATTATATTGTTCTACTTATTTGCTGTGAGGTTAATACTTAGAAAATTTGTATATTAATGTAAACAATAAAAAAATCACTGATTGTATGCTTTCTTTTAGATGTAATGGTCCAAACTCAGCCTTGTAGACATTTATTGCATCCTGTAGGTAAATACACAGAACAGGCTCAGGTCCAGGATGACCCAGCATGCTCTTCTTCCATTCTGGCTGGTAGGGGTTGTATCAATAACTCAATGCCTACTGATGTTTCCACCTAACGGTATTTATTTAGAATGCAGGTCAGATTTAACTATATTTGTTAGCAACGCAGACTGATCTTGGGAATTTCACTGCAGCACTGATGTCCACCTCTGTGTACACATTAGAGAATTACCACGTTACAGCTAAACGCACATTTCATAAAGATACAGGCTACGCATTGCAGACAATAAAAACATAAAGCTGTAAGCATTAGAATTATAATGATCACATTAAAGAACATTGAGAAATGTTCTTTATTTGTCACTAGAATCTCAAATCTTTAAATGAAAATGTAACTGCTTTTTATCCATTTTCAGCCATTAAGACACCCAATATAAAATAAGACTACTTATAAAATTATTTATGTATATAGATAGATAGATAGATGGAGAGAGATCTTAATAAAATATATTCTCTTAATGGTGTTTTAATGAGCTGTATCATTTTTTAAACATTTTTTATAGAAATAAATAAGCTAGCGGCATTCCTTGTGTGTGTGCGCGCGTGCCTGCTCGCTTGTCCCTCCCTCGGCCGGAGTAAGGTCTAGCTGCAGACGCAGCCCCGTCCAAACACGCCCCGACAAAACACGCCCCTATGTACAAAACACGCCCCTATGTACAAAACACGCTCCTATGTACAAAACACGCTCCTATGTACAAAACACGCCCCTATGTACAAAACAGGCCCCTATGTACAAAACACGCTCCTATGTACAAAACACGCCCCTATGTACAAAACACGCCCCTATGTACAAAACACGCCCCTATGTACAAAACACGCCCCTATGTACAAAACACGCTCCTAAGTACAAAACACGCTCCTATGTACAAAACACGCCCCTATGTACAAAACACGCCCCTATGTACAAAACACGCCCCTATGTACAAAACACGCCCCTATGTACAAAACACGCCCCTATGTACAAAACACGCTCCTATGTACAAAACACGCCCCTATGTACAAAACACGCCCCTATGTACAAAACACGCCCCTATGTACAAAACACGCTCCTAAGTACAAAACACGCTCCTATGTACAAAACACGCCCCTATGTACAAAACACGCCCCTATGTACAAAACACGCCCCTATGTACAAAACACGCTCCTATGTACAAAACACGCCCCTATGTACAAAACACGCTCCTATGTACAAAACACGCCCCTATGTACAAAACACGCCCCTATGTACAAAACACGCTCCTATGTACAAAACACGCCCCTATGTACAAAACACGCTCCTATGTACAAAACACGCCCCTATGTACAAAACACGCTCCTATGTACAAAACACGCTCCTATGTACAAAACACGCCCCTATGTACAAAACACGCTCCTATGTACAAAACACGCTCCTATGTACAAAACACGCCCCTATGTACAAAACACGCTCCTATGTACAAAACACGCCCCTATGTACAAAACACGCCCCTATGTACAAAACACGCTCCTAAGTACAAAACACGCTCCTATGTACAAAACACGCCCCTATGTACAAAACACGCCCCTATGTACAAAACACGCCCCTATGTACAAAACACGCTCCTATGTACAAAACACGCCCCTATGTACAAAACACGCCCCTATGTACAAAACACGCTCCTAAGTACAAAACACGCTCCTATGTACAAAACACGCCCCTATGTACAAAACACGCCCCTATGTACAAAACACGCTTCTATGTACAAAACACGCGTTCACGTACAAAGACGAGAACTCGCATGCGTGTTGCAACAGATGGAAATGACGGTTCAGGTAAAGACAGATTTATATTTTTACATCTTGTGAAGATTTTGTACATAAATTTGAACGTTAAAGACATAGTTTGATAGATAGCGAATTAGTGATTTTTTCTGAAACACTTTTATATAAAATTAAGCATATTGGCAGTGGGGGAAGACGTCATAGACGCAAAATATTTTTTATATAATTTTTAATGGGCTACATGCAAGCCTTTTGGCCAAAATAAACGTAACAATAGGCTATTTATTTGACCGTTTATGACTCCTCATCTAATAAGCAGCAAACTCACGACGGCCCGGAGGTAATCTACAAACACAAGAACAGTGCTAATGCCTATATGTATTGTTTTCACATTGTTTATGACAGCCTCTAGGTGTAAATGTCATTTTTACTAATTGCTATTTATCTTTGTCTCATTAGTGAGAGGCAGCTGATGTCCTATGCCATGGAACTGCTCATATACTCGGAGAAGTTCAGAAAAGCTCTGGACTCATCTGAATTTTTGAAGAGGCTGTAGCATTGTGTGGACATTTTTTTGGAAGGTATTTGTAAGGCCAATAAAAGCTGTTGCTGGTTATTTCATTTGTCTGAACTTTTTCTCTAAAGCCAAACTTTTCTGCTTTTGTGTTTACAGTATATTCTTTACAGATTAGTGTATGGTCAATATCAGTTTACTAGTCTTGTGAATTGTATACTTAATGCAAAATATTTTAGTAATTTCTAAATCAATACATTTTATGTCAAAGGGCCAGCAATTATTCCTGTTAACAGAATATATGAAATGCATATATACTAGAGGTGGGAAAAATGATCGATTCTAAGATGCATCGTGATTCAGCCGTGCACGATTCCGCATCGATGCAGCAACGTGACATAATGAGATTTTCTCCCTATGTCTGTCGGGGGTCAGCAACCCGCGGCTCTTCCATCCATCTGATGCGGCTCTCTGTGCTTGTAAAATAATGAATGGATATTTAAGTAAAATGCTTTATATTTTACTGCATTAATTTTACATCTGTAAGCTAATTCTAAATGTAAAGATTGTCTGCGTAAACCTGAACAGGCCCAACCCGGTCTTGTGAGACCGGGTTGACGCGTCACGCTTGTGCGTAATCATAGCGCTTTCTGAGCTGAAGAGGATGTGAGATTCTGGGCTTCTCCTCAGACGACTCCTGGATGTGTCGCCACATTGGAGACAGGAACAAGCGCTATTCAGCCAAAGTTTCATAATCAGGGAACATTTTCTAAGTGACAAGTCTCGCTTCAGTCGGAGGAATCTTCCCGCATGCGCTCTGGTTCTGCGACGCGCTCCAAGCCCCTCTCCACAACTTCAGCTCGCTGTGCGCCTTATGTAGTACACGCGGACAGCGAGCTGCGCTGAGCAGTGTCCAGCTCAGATGTTCAGATGGGAATCTTTTCTTGGGTGATTTAGCTACATCTGCGATGTGCGTAGAATAAAATGTCAGTTCGTCTGCATGCGTCGGGGTAATTCTTTCTGTTCTTTCTCCATCAAAATAAACAGTCAAACACGGGAACTGTCCGGTCAACACAAGCCCTGCTTTTAACTGTTCTGTTTTCTTGCGAAAATTGTTGCAAAGAGATATAATTTAACTTGATTAACACCAGAGCCAGGTGCACTGCGCCGTTATCTCCGTCACTGTAAATGAGGGAAAAACAAAATGATCGGATCCTTTTCTGACCTTCCCCACCTACAAAGTTTAATTACAACAATCAAACGTGACAGAGCCTGGATTTGTATTCTGAACAGTCTAAACATGTTTTAAAAAGAAACGTATGACAAAAGTGGCACCTGCTCAGTAAAACCACCAACAGGGTGAAAAAGATCTAAAAATTGTCGGCAGAGACAGGCTACAACTTCTGGATCCACTTTATATAAATCGTTTTATTGATTATCGTCTTAAGAAAGATAACTTTGACGTACACGAGCGACCGGTACTGGCTGCTGTCACCTGTTGTGAGCAGCTCTCTGCTGTCTGAGGGTAGGCCCCGCCCACAACGCCGCGGCTGCTGCGGTGTTTACTTTACTGTGGGAAACGGGTAATAATGGCTCTTTGATGGGAACAGGTTGCTGACCCCTGGTCTATGTCTATGCAGGACAATAAAGTTTTGAGGTTTTATAATTACTTCTGGGGGCAGAGTTGCAGTGACATGCGCGCTGCGTTGCCCTAGCGCCAATTTAAACCAGAAAAGGCGGACAGGGATACAGGGCCAACATTACCAGTAATCAAAGATGTACCAGTTACATTTAAATTGGATGTCTGGGCTAATTTCGGTTTTGGGATCCTGGATGTGAAAGAATCACTTAACACAGTATTTGTTTACTATTTTTAAGTTCAGTAGTATTCTATCTTAAAGCTGCTCTACCGAAAACATTATTTCTTATATTATTTAAGTAATTATAGGCAGCACACTTTAAAAATTATTGCTCACTATAGTGAATAGATGAATGCTCTGTTTTTCAGGGATTTTGAAATAAAAAAGAAATTGAAAACTATTCTACTGCTTTTATTAAGTAATGAAAATTTTTGTGTGAAGAATCGTGATGCATTTCAGACTCAAATCGAATCGTTAGGCAGATAATCAGAATCGGATCGAATCGTGAGGCAGGTAGAGATGCACACCACTGATATATACACATGTAAATAT